GTTGGCTACATTATCCGTTAGAACAGTGAATTTTGTTCCTAACAAAAAATGGCGCCAAGTTTCAAGACAATGAACAACCGCCGTTATCTCTTTCTCATGAGTTGAATATCATTGTTCCGCCTCTTTCAATTTTCGACTTTCATGAGCAATCATATGACCTTTTTGTACCAATACACCTCCAATAGCATGGTCAGATGCATCAATGTATACTGCCCATTTTGTAGTTAACAAGACAATTCGCTTCGGCCATTGCTGAAGGAAGATCTTTTACTTTTTGCCTTCGCAATTCTGCCTATGCCCAACTCTGTAATCCCGACATAAAATTGAAAAGCTTATCCTCCTCGGACATATTCTGGATATCCAGTATGAGACTACTGAATTCCTTCACGTATTCTCGAACACTACCCTACTGCCTTAACTATTTGAGAGATTCCCTTGCAACCCAAGCCGCATTGCAAGTCAGGAACTAATCTTTCAATTCATTCTACAACATTTCCCAAGTAACAACCGGTAAACTGCACGTAGCTTCGTCATCCTTCACCTGAGTTCGCCACCACAACTTTGTATCACCCGAGAGATACATTGAAGTGATATTTACCTGCTCATCCTCTGGAATATAAGCAGGCTTGAAGTACTGCTCCATATCCACAAGAAATTCTCCAACTCTTTGGCATTACGAGCACCGTTGAACTGCTTTGTTTCAGGAACATGAATTTTTGAAGCACCTACTGCATCCCGCACAGTAGTACTATTTAGGGCCAATTTCAACAAGGAAATTTTACTCTCAAGGGCATCAAACCGAGCATTTGTGTTATCAGCAAGATCGAACATATCTTTTATGACGACGCTTGTCTTTCATCTACCTAGCTGGTATACTCTTCGAACTGAGCCCTCAATTCTATGTGCACATCATTATGTGCATGGATTTGTGCAGCCAAACTGACTGCATTGTCAGTCATAGGAGAACCAACAAAAACCTCCAACGCAACAACCCATCCTTAAGATTCTGACTTGCAGCCATGTCTGCAAACGAAACCCAGTAACTGCAATCTTGGAGCTCCGATAATAATTATTACAGGGACGAATTCTTGGTAAAATACTTAGCCAAATTTTTACCTATGCTGGTACTGAGGTTCCACTTAGCCAGCCTACGACTTTACACAATGCATACAAGGAAAGATAAATGCAACAATGTAAAGGAATGCAGAATTTACGAGTAAAACCCAACTCGTTTATTACTTCCCAATAATATAAGAAAACGAAGGAATATTGAAGGAACACAACACCCTTTGTGTCTCATCAACCCAACCTTCAAAATATATAAGCCAAAATTCGTGTGCAGTTAACACCCTTAACTGCCTAGGGATAAACTAACCCAATAGGATTAGAATTGCCAAAAACTGCTTCCCATAACTAGGGTTGGGCATGGGTTGGATTATGGATGGCAAAAAATCTCATTGGCTTGGGCTCGACCTGAAAAAAGCCAGAGCGTGGCCCAGTTAGGGCCGAGTCCCATTTGGGGACGTCGGCTCGAGCCTGGGCAAGCCTGCCCATTATTTAAAAAAAATTAATTTTTCTAAAAAAACTGCAACGGTAGCTAAAAATAGCTGCTTGCAAAGGCAGCAAAGCATCCTTCAATTTAAAAAAAAAAAAAAACCAAAAAACCCGAGTCGGCTAGGCTCGCTCAGGCTCAGGCCGTGCCTCATTTTTTTGGACAGGCTTTGCTCGGCTCGGGCCCAAAAAAGCTCGAGCCGAGCCAGATGTTATTTTTTTTTTCGGCTCGGCTGGTTGACATATCCAGGTTGGATTGTGTAGGTTTTTGCCTCGATTCAAACCCAACTCAACATGATCGATTTGATCATAATTTAACCCAACTCGTGTAAATATTGAAACCCAACTCAACCCAACCCAATCAAGTATAGGTAAGGTAGGATAGGGTAGGGTCGGGTTGGAACAACTTGTCAACATAGACTAAAGTAGGTGGGTTGAGTTGGACGAATTTATAATTGACTCATATATGCCCTGTTTGAGCCACATTATTTTTTTCATTATCATTCTTCTATTTATTTTCAACCACATATTTTTCAATAAAATAATATTTTACATCACATCATAACTTTTCTTTCATTTTCAACCACATATTCCCCATCGCACCACTTCAAAAAAATGCATCCTCTCATTTTAATATGCACCAAACACGCTCATAATATTTGGTCTCCATAGTTGTAATGAACAAAAAAATATGAATTATTTTGGCACTTCATTTCCGGATTTGTTACATTGACAAATTGATATTAAATTATATGAAATCATGAAATGTTTTTATNAGAAATGTTTTTTACAATTAAAATATTTTTGTGTTGAATGTGTATTTGTTTATACTATTTTTCGTAAAATGCATTCTATCCAAATTTTATAATATTATTCTAAGAGTTTCCAAACAATATCATAACATGTAAAATTCATAAATATAGTCGGGTTGGGTTGAGTGGGTTTATTCGATTTTTATGAGTTAACCCATAACCCGACTACACAATTAACCTACTCAACTCATGTAAAAACAACAAAAAAACACCAACACAAATCGGTCTGGTTGGTTCGGGTTGGGCGGTTTTGACAGATTCGGTCGGGTTTTGCCCACCTTTACCCATAACCATTCTCAGCAACTATCCATACTTTCCACCTATATGGACCACGAAAACTGCCCAACACAAGTGTCAAACATGTGCTTGATTTGGACACCCGAATTTGTGGACTAAAACACTCTTAACAGCAAGTTGGATTTGTCCATGCCTTGCTAATCCGCAACACTTTGACACCGGCCAAATTGAAGCATCATTACCACAAATTGAAACCCACGTTTTCCTTGCTCCGAAATTCGAAGTATGCACCATCAACACACCTATCCACAAAATCCTAGCATAAGTGTAAGGCGTGTTCATGTCATTGCGTATGTCAGCCTTTAAGGGGCTGATAACAAACCACCAATGTCACACACACATCTCACCCGGGTCTCTGATGTCCTCGGGGAAACTGCTGATAGGTTTGAAAGCACCAGATAGATCCCAAAAAATCACTCACCTTCCCAATAGGTCATGAGATTCAAGGGCTGAATCCTTAGATAAATGAGATTGGGGGTGCCAATCGACGAGGGCGTCGTAGGTAATTCACGAATGATGCCTTGATGTTGTCTTCAAAAATTGTCCGGTCACATGTTTTTTCGATTCTCGATCCATCTTTAGCTCTATCCATTTCTCATCGAAATCAAATCTGTACCCAAAACCTCATCTCCCTTGAAATGAAAATTTTTGAAGTCTAAATTCATTAAATTTTTTAGGAATTCGACGACGCACCAGAATCAAATATATTGCAAGAACGATTATCTCTGACGACTGTATCCCACTGTGGTATGCTCTTGAGGTAATTTTGCTTGAATTCACATTCACCATTTTGGGGAACAATGAAAGAGCTCTAGGGAAAGAGAGTAAAGAGAGAAATGGTGTACATATTTTTTAAAAAGTAATTATCTGATTATTGGTAAAATAATTTTGAAACGAAGTTTAAAGAAAATTTCTCTTTTCAAATTTTAATGCTCAGAGCACATTGGATGGGCCCTCTTTGGAAGTTGGGTAGACCAACTATGTGAACTCTCATGGATTAGATAATCAGCTCTACATGAGTCGATTCCCGGCCTAAACCCATCTCCAATGCCATCCGAAAACACCATTTTGCACCAAAAGAATGTTGTAAACTCTCTCCAGTCTAACTCCATACTATGCACCAAAATGGTTAATGTCATTTTGCGTCAAATTTTTATCTAGGGTATTTGTGTCCATTTTTTGTTTTACAACAAATTATTATTATTATTATTATTATTATTATTATTATTATTATTATTATGTGCATTTGTAATTGATGTTACCAAAAGTCGTACCTGTTTACTTCCAAGATCGACAACTGAGAATGAGCACGAAATGAGTCCTTCCGATACCTGAAACAAAGGCGCCGAGGTGCGTCGTCGTTGCCCCTCCGATGCTTAAATCAGAGAGAGAATGTAGGGAAAAAGTATATGCAGCCAGTGATGTGTTAAAAACGTACCTTAACAATGAATGATGGCGGTGTATTTATAGAGGCTGGTAATTGACTCCAGTAGGACTAGAACGCTGGACTTCTTAGGAGTCTTAGACTCCTAGTGTCATTAGGAGTCACTATTTAGTTGATATGGTATGTCTTGGGTGCTTGGATAGAGGCAGGACTCTCCTTGTAGAATTCGTTCAGGATAGGACAGACTGTGATCAGTAGGGTTTCATTCCTGGGTTAGAGCCATGTCAAGGCAGATGTTCCTCGGGGTTTATCCAATCCCGAGGAACATTGCCCGAGCTATCTTTGGCATTTTGGTGGAAAGTTGGGGGAGACATCCTCAGGGATACACTGCTCGGCTCAGTCACTGTAAAATTTGACATGATCAGTAATAAATTTTAATCATGTAGTTAATAATAATTAAGGAATGAATTTAATATTTTCATTAACTAAACGTAATTATTTATTTAGTAACTTATGTCATAATAAATAAATAAATAATTTTTAAGATAAATAATTATTAAGAATGAAAAAAATGAAGAAAATGCTAAAATATTGTTCATTTGGTGTATTTAGTCAGAGATGATTTTCAGTTCAGTCCAAAATAATAGAAAACTTCAAATTTTGGCGCAGACAACTAAAGATTAGCCCATATTTGGTAAGGATAAAAATTTAATTTTTAATAAATCTTAATAAAAGTTGATGAGATTTATTATTGAAAAGTTGTAAATATCATGATTAATTATTAACTTTAATGGAAGGATAAAATAATTATAAAAAAGCACTAAGTCTTTTCTTCCCGGTAATCTGATGATCCAAAAAATATTACAGTAAACGAAATTAATCCCAACGTAATACAGCTTAATGGAATCTTAGTTTTACGACGATAAGCACCATCTAGTGTGGCGTCCATACTCGACTCAAGCCTTAATTGTCACGCTGCATAGGCACAAGCCCGACGGCCTTATCTCGGAAGTTTGCCATTCAGACCCGGGGGCAGCATTAGGATCATACAACAGGGTGTTATAACCCGGATACTCCTGTACTGGGAACAGCAAAAGCTTACCATCTAGTATGCCAAATCGAAACCCGATGCTTGAGCTCCCAGTCACAGGAACTGGCACCATCTTCCATGAATTTTCCGCTGGGTTAAATATAGCTAGTTTCCGTTGATTCTTCCACTCCATGCAAAAGAGCTCCTTCCCGAGCATGGCTTGTGCAGTAACCATGACACAACCATTTTTCATCTCACACCATGTGTGCATATCGGGGTTATAAATATCGATGAACCTTGAGTTTCCAATTGTGAAACTTGACCTCCCGCCCATAACATATAGCTTTCCCTCAAACCCACATGCAAAACATCCCCACCTTGGGCGGCGTAGACTCTCAATTAGAGTCCACTTGTCAGTATCTGGGTCGTACACCTCAGCACAAGAGAGAGATTCACCATCTATGCCATATCCTCCAACTGCATAGACCATGCCATTTAACTCGGCACAAGCAAAGTCATAACGTGCCACATTCATGCTAGCCAATTTGCTCCATCTACAAAAAATAATTAGTCGATATATGTCTAAATCAGACCAAGAAAGACGAAGCTATTATATTTTCAGGATCTTTTCGTTTTCCAGCAAGCAGATAATCAAAAGATAAATTACACGTGATAAATTTCTAGCTCGATGTTTGATGCATCGAGTGGAGTATTAGAATTCATGAATGCAGACTTTATCATGGGGTAGCACGTTTCCTATTGCAAAATTAATCTGACTAGTTTATGAAGCAAGTTGACAATGTATGATAAATGATTTAGAGGGAATTGTATCTTTTAATGAGCCAAGATTCTCAAGAGTAAAAGCCTAGCAAATTAATTGTTGTAAGAGGATTTTATCACCATTCATGATGACCACAAGTTCAGTTCCCAGCTGATCTATTCTCAACCAGTATCAGCTTGAAAAAAAATCAGTGTTAGGTATGAAAATAAATTAATGAATCATCAGAAAAGCAAGCTACAGATCTGATCGAAGTCAGTTGACTTGAGGGAGAAATCTAGTTTAAGAATTGGCAGTATACCGAAAAGAGCATAAAAGACAGCTGAGAAATAGCAGTTAGAAATGAGACAGAAATTCATGTACATTCAAAGAGAGGCCAAAAATGCTCCACCCACCTACCAATAGAAAAGGACTGACTGCATAGATAACAATGTTGAAAAAATACGAGAGCCATTGACGAATATCCACAAGATGCTAACTGCGCAACACCTACCAAATATGCCAGCATATTGAACTTGTTCTGATGTTCACAATCGAACAAAGTGATATCCATACAGTAGCAGAGAGAGGGGCACTATTACAAGGCAATGCCATATGGGCATAAACTTTGAACTGTTATAGACACAACTTATTATTTGGGGCCTGTTTGTACCCCTTTTTGGTGTAGAATGCATTTTGAAAGAGTAGATTGATGGAGAATATATGGTTAAAATACAGGAACGGTTTTTGGGTTGCTTGTAATATTATTTTGTTGAAAAATGTGTAGTTAAAAAGAAAAGAGAGAAAAATGTATTTTGAAACAAATGGAGATCAAACAAATATAAAATGTACATGGATAGCTCAATTTTGAGGCCAATCTTCAAATAAGGCAACTGGGTGTATTCAATTTTAACTAACCCCCAACGTTTGCCAGTTATCTCGTAATCTCGATTTAAATTGAACTACTCCCAGCTTAAATAATAGAGCCAGTTACCACAGTTAAGTTCTAAAAAGTCAAAGTGTATGATAAATTAAGCCCCTGTTTGGCCCTCATTTTCAAAAACTCTTTATCCCCAAACGCATTTTCAACCACGCATTTCTAGGACTCACAACGTTTATCAACTTTTCAATCACACAATTGATCAACTTTTATCTAAATCTACTAAAAACTGAATTTTTAGCTAAACGAAACAGGGGCTAAAGCTGGAAAAAGGAAAGTGTTGAAAAAAATGACAGCCATTCATGAATATTCACCACGATGTCGAACACGCAAAACCCTGCCAAATATGCCGACATATAGAACTTGTTCTGGTGTTCACGACAGAACACAGTAAAATCAACATAGTAGGAGAGGAGAGGGGCACTATAACAAGGCAATACCATAAAGGCATAAATTTGAACTGTTATAGACTCGCTTATTAGTTTAATATGATGCAGCTTTTAAAAAGTACACTGATCGCTCAAATTTGAGGTCAATCAAATATGGGAACTGGGCTTATTCGATTTTAACTAACCCCCAAGCTAAATGAGTTATCATGATAGAAATTGAACATAGATCAGTTCTAGAAAGTACAAAAGTTCGATTAGCTAAAGTTGGAAGCAGAAAAAAAAACAAATACAAATCCTAACGATGATGCACAGAATGAAAAGGGGAAAGGTGGAAAAGAAAGAAAATACACCTGTCGAGGCAAGAATCATATTGGCAAACATCTGCTGAGGCAGACCCAGTTCCGTCGACCATAGAATAGCCAGCAATGACGAGAAGCTTTCCGTGAAGAACCACCACAGCAAAACCGGCTTTAGCAGGACCCGGCATTGGTGAAAGTTGCTGGTGTTTACGTCCCAAGCAATCTAAAACCTCCCAGTGGCTTTCTTTTCCTTCAGAATCCATACTAAGGACATATAACCATTCCTCAAGCACCCCTGATAATTTCCTAACAGTTATGAACTCTTTGCTTTTGATAAATGACCTCCATCGCTTGCTTACGACCCCCATGGCTGGAAAATTAGATCGAGGAACAAGAGCAAGACAGTATTTCGCCACATCATCAGGCAATCCAGGCAAGATGGGACAATAATAATGATCATTAATCTTTGAAGCTGGGGTATCTTGCTCATGTAAATTGGAGAAACACATATCGGATACAGCAATTCACTTCTTCAAGCAAAAAGGAAGTGTCTTTAGAACTTATCAATGCAACTAAACGATTGGCACCTAATTAAATAAATTCACGATATCCTTCGATTATGGGAATTCTACAAGACCAAGCCATAAACAATGCCGCAAATCGAATCAAATGAGCTGTAAAGGGCATCGGTTTCCTATGCTTCGTCCAACCGTGTTCAAATTCCATACCACCTCTCCTACAGTAATTTGGCTTGCTCGCACCAACCAGGTTGATACCAAATTTAAAATTTCCTGATGCGTTTTTTTCTGCACACGTTGCCCAAATATCTAATAGATAACAGACATGTGAAAGAAAGCCATATAACATAAAAAATAAGTAAATTTTTTTTCCCAGACACTAAATTGAAAGAATAGTTGAAATAAGGAAAAATCTGTAAAAGGTTGAAATACCTGCCAATGCCATAACCTATCACGTTTTAACCTGCGGTGACTTCCATTTTGACGGCTAAATAATCCTACAGTTAATCGTAAAGAGAAGGAAAAACAAATAAATCAAAATAAGAGTTTTCGATGAATAACTAACTAGAGTAAGAAAGTCATTCCAAAATTTTTAGGACACAACCGATCATATGTACAATGAAGCTAATTATATAATTGGCACGAGCCAAATATAAAAGTTAATAACATAAAGTCAAATGACAACCAACATGCATCAACAAACAATAAAATCGGCACATGTTTAATAATATTTTTATAGATTCAAATATCAAGTTCACCAACCCACCAACAACTATTATCATTAGTCACCCACCAAACACCCCATACCCACAACCTCATTGGTAACTCACCAACCCCCTCACCTCAACCTGCCTCGCCCTTAAACAGTCAAAAGTAAGGAAAAGAATAAGGGTATGTTTGATAGGCATTATTTTCCTTGGAAGTTAGAAAAGGAATTCCATTTTCCTCAAAAAATGGTGTTTGATGGACAAAATTTTACCACCCAAATATTTTCCCACCCTAGACCCACGCGCCCCCTTTTCCTTGAAATGGATGAAATGGTTTTCCCACCAAAAATTTTGGTGGGAAAACTGTTTTCCAGGTTCTATTTTTTTTTTTACAATGGAAACAAATTTCATAACCAATTGTAAAAAAAAATTGCACTTTCATGGACAATTTTCATATAAAACAAAGTCAAACGAACACTAAACTTTGATAAAAAAAATGATTTTTTAGGAAACAATTTTTTCTTTCTTTTTTACTTTTTTGCAATGAAAACAAATTTTATAATCAATTGTGAAAAAAAATATCACTTTAATGGACAATTTCCATGTAAAACAAAGCTAAACGAACACAAAATTTAAAAATTTTTCGGGTGGAAAATTATACCAATCAAACACACTTAATTAACAATTCCCTGAAAAACAATTTCTAGGAAAATATTTCCCCTGTAAAACATTTTCTTTCCACCCATTTAAAACAAAGCCAAACGAACACAAAATTTAAAAATTTTCCAGGTGAAAAATTGTACCAATCAAACAAACTTAATTAACAATTCCCTGCAAAACAATTTCTAGGCAATTCCTTTTCCTAAAATTCATTTTCTTTCCACCCATTTTCCACCAATACAATCAAACGCACCCAGGTCAAAAAGAAACATAACACCACTGATACAATAATTCGCTAACAAAAAATTCGATAGAATATTAGATGCCATTTTCATAGTTGCAGAAGTCACCGACGTTAAAGAATAAATATCTAACATTTCAGTTACGAAACACTAACTACTGTTCATAAACGAGTGTTATATGTTAATCAAGGATTTAAGCGGTTAAAATTTCGTGAATAGAAAAATATATACAAAATCAAAGGCCAATTAAAATAAATTCAAACGAACACTAAAATTTGATGAAAAAAATGATTTTTTAGGAAACAATTTTTTTTCCCTTTTTTTTTTTACTTTTTGGCAATGGAAACAAATTTTATAACCAATTGTGAAAAAAAATATCACTTTAATGGATAATTTCCATGTAAAAAAAAGCTAAACGAACACAAAATTTAAAAATTTTCCAGGTGGAAAATTATACCAATCAAACAAACTTAATTAAAAATTCCCTGCAAAACAATTTATAGGCAATTACTTTCCCTGAAATTCATTTTCTTTCCACCCATTTTCCACCTTTAAAATCAAACGCACCCTAAGTCAAAAAGAAACATAACACCACTGATACAATAATTCGCTAACAAAAAAATTCGATAGAATATTAGATGCCATTTTCATAGTTACAGAAGTCACCGACGTTACAGAATAAATATCTAACATTTCAGTTACGAAACAGTAACTACTGTTCATAAACGAGTGTTATAAACAATCAAGGATTTAAGCAGTTAAAATCTCGTGAATAGACAAATATATACAAAATCAAAGGCCAAAAAAAAAAAACGAAGGTTTTGTAAAAATCAAAAATACAAAATTACATTATGAATTTCAAATTCGATTATTTATACCAAAATTAGATCGACCGTTCATCTAATCAAAATAGAAACTGAATCCACATATAGTGATTTCTATAGCAACTGATTAAGCAAATCACTAAATCTAACAAATTCAGCTGAAAAATATAGAAAAAAGCTAAAAATTACCCGAAAATCAGCCGGAATCCTTGTTAGACAGTTGAGGTAAAGAAGGGATATTGATTATAAATTTATATAATTGAAAAAAGAAGACAGATTTGTTGGATAAGGATATGTATAGGAATGGGCAAAGAATATTGAGGGAAATGGTCGAGAAATCTCGTGAGCATGGAAGGTGCAGGGATTTAAATAATTCAGAATGGGCAAATGGCAGAAACGCGTCAGAAGATAGATATTTTCAAACAAGGGTATTGTAGATTGGGTTATTCTTCTTGTACATAATGGGCTGTACATAATGGACACCATAATGGTGTCCATTATTATACAGCTCGTGACAATATTAGCTCACGTTTTTTTTATAGAGCGGAAACCCCTCCAATTGTGAAAAAATTTCGATGTACAAATAACAAAATTCATCATAAAATTAGAATAGAGCTTTTCAACCTTTCACGTAAGAATAATTTTAATTGTACATAAGTAGCTACATAATGATTTATGTAACGACCCAACCTCACGTCGAAATCATTATCATATCATGTTGTTCAATTGGTACCAGAATTCAACTTAAATATCTTATATGATGAAGGTCTTGAATTCGAATCTTGGGGGACGCGTCAGAAAACAGTGAGGGGTAAGATGAACCTAAACTCTATCAAAGCGGACAGACGTATGATATGATAACTTTTTCGGCGCGATGTTGGGTCGGGTCGTTACAATTTACATACAGATGACATGTCAAAAAAGAGTGAAGAGTTTTTTTTTTTTGGGTATCCACACGTGTACATAAAACATTACATAAATATAGCACAATCGATTTGAGTTTTCATGCAATGACAATCGTTAATATAGATATTCAGTTGAATTTAATAGAGGTTTAGATAATCTTCAATCGTGTTGTAAAATAGATCCAAATTGTGATTTACATTTCTAAAATGATTGAAAACCTCTTCAATATAAAGATGCAAAATTTGAATTGTCACAAAGTGTGAGTTTCATCGAATGCACCATGAAAACCGTCTTTAAAAATTAGCGATTTGGCTCCCATCATTTCATTATAGTTGTATAAATCAACGTTTTGTAAAAGAAATCATCTAAATTCTCTGTTAAATTGTCACATAATCATTAAATACTTTAAGAAGTCAAGGTTTGCATCAAATAAATTAAAATGAAATTATTTGAAATGTCGTGATAATTTAATGAAAATTCGGGTATTTTGTGCCATTTTGAACTTAAAACAATGATGAAAAGTTGAAAGTAAATTGTTCCTTTCGAAAAATGAGAACAAAGTCGTAAGTGAAAAGATATATTGAGGACCACTGGTGCAATTTTTCTGTTCAACAATTAATGTAAATTGTTCCATCGCTTTAAGCTTTTAATACCTGTTTGACAAAATGCTGTGAGATTACAGGTTGGTGAATTACATGAAAATGTCAATAAAAAATATAAGAAATATAGGTTTAAAAAATAAAGTTTGAACAACTTATAATTTTAAAATATCTTTGCCAAACGGGGACTTTAATTTATAATTTATCACGATATCAAAACATATGATTGAGGTAGAAGATATTTGTAAGGACCTTAATTGGAAAAGTTAAGGGTCTGTTCTCTTTACCATTTTAAATTCAAGCCGTTTTTTGTTTTTAATTTTTCAAAACAGTGAAAACGCTTTCTCTTTCCTATTTTCGAAAACGCGTTTTTTAAAACAAGTTAAAAATTTACAAAGAAAACTCAAAACGACAAATTTGTCATTTTGGGTGTTTTACGTTATAATCAAGTCAAAATTTTCAAAACGCGTTTTGGGTGTTTTCAAAAAAAATTTTCAAAATGCCAAAAAGAACACATTTTTAACAATCTCAAAATAAACACTCAAAACACAACCCAAAACCCAAAATGAATTCAAAATTCAAAACACAAAACTGAAACACATAAAAAACAACCCCTAAGGTTTACTGACAAAATTCTATTTATAAAAAAATATCATTTTGTAAATGGAGAAAAGGGCACACATACTAATGAAAAATATCGACAATGGTTACTATGTGTGACACCATGGAGAGCTACTTATGTCACAAAATTAGATCGACATTAAAAAATGATGTAACAAAATTTAATGAACCAATTATGGTGTGAATGTCACTGTTATAAAAATCCGACTGGATTGCCAATTCAAATGGAAATCAGTTCGATATTCGATCAAGTTATATGCCATATTTAGAACCAGTTTCTACCACCTGTTTGATCCAATAATTCACGTAATCTTTCATTTTCTTTCAAGTCAATATTCGAGTGATTATCATTGAAAACTATCTAACAACTAATGGAGGATATCTCAAGAGATACTAAAAATTCCACTTGTGATTCTAACAAAACATTGACATGGACAGGTCATCCTATACTACACACAGCATTTTGTGTGGTTGATTCCCCTGAAACCTACCACCTCAAAAACGTAAACCTTAAAAATTGCTGTGGAAGTAAAAACACCAATTGTCTGGGACTAAGTGTGTGGCTACTAGCTTCACATGTGGTTGATCGAAACGAGACATTACATCGTCACGAACCATTGATAAGAATTTTAGAAATTGCAAAAAGCTGTCAAACTCATGCCCCACCAAAGTTATGGATGGAGATTCGTTGGGTATCCACAATTTCGTAGAACCCACAATTTTTATTAATATATTCTGTAAAACCCACATCTTATAAGAATTCTAGAAAGTACAAAAAGCTGTCAAACTCATGCCCCACCAAAGTTATGGATGGAGATTCGTTGGGCATCCACAATTTTATATAACCCACAATTTTTATCAACATATTCCGTAAAACTCACATCTTATATTCTACAAAAAATACTTCACTAAAGATACACGAATTTATCCACACACTTCCTAAGACCCACATTTTTTATCAACATATTCCGTAAGACTCATATTTTATAATTTACAAAAAGCTTTACCAAAGATACACTAATTTATTCACATATTTCGTAAGACCTACAACCACCGCTGACTCGTTGTCCGCACATTTCATGAGACACATAATCACACCCAAGCACGCTCTAACTAGAAATTGGAATCAAGCAGAAAAGTTCATCCTAATCATATACAAAAGTCATCAAAATATCAAGGAGCCAAACCTGTCGTAAGCCAACATGCTCCAATCACCTCATTCTTGTTATATTTTAAAATAGCAAATGAACTCAAAGCTGATGCAAGTTTAGAACATAAAAAATACAGACCGAATAGCCAAAACTTCCCCAAAAAAAGGGAATTTAATATGTTGTTTTTGTGTGTCTTAAGAGTTATCTATGCGTTGAGTTATTCCGACGTAGAATTTAACAGCCCATTGGTATATTTCGAAAACAAGCAACAAAATTCTTGACAATTACCAATTTGAACCACTTAAGATAACCAGCTTTTACTTAACAATATTTTACAGATCAAGACCAGTAAAATTGGTAACTGACTCGGTAAAAGAAAATTTGGATATCTTTTCTAGAGATTTCAGCAACAAAGGGTGAGGTTCTACAAGCTAGAATCAGCTTAGGCTAGCAATCAACTTATCCATGACACACTATATAGAGTGCTTGCTTGGCTAAGGAATGTGTGGTTAAAAAGTAGATGAAGTTGTGGGTCATCAGGAATGTTTGGTTAAAAATGATGTTTGACTAGCATATAAGCACTGCATCAACATAGATGAAAATGTCAAATACAACAAAGAGAGTATACGTTCCAAGCAATAGTCAGAATTTGAAAACTCACTCTCATGTCTTCATTTCGCCCTACAAATCCAGACATGTTAACACTGAAAAGCCACCAGGAATAAGTTTCAACGCGAAACAAGAAGCCGTGGATTCATCCCTCAAGACAAATCCGTGTCAATTCTAGTTCTAAGAAAAATCCGCAAAGTCAACAAAACTATGAAGTTCCTTGCCAACAACCTCAGCAGCATCGTGCTTACACACTAGGCTACCCTTTTCCGAAAGTTAGCAAATTTGTCATCCCCTGAGCATAGAAACCTCTCCAGAAAAGGATCACGAACTAATTTGTTCTTTATTTTCAGATTTCTACTATGTAGACAGACATTGATCTAGACTGGCAAAGGAGATATTTAAAACCTTCCGAGCTCAAGGCACTAAACCAAAACTTCTAATATACAAAAGCAATGAGTAACAGGCTTAACAAATACATAAATAGTGAGCAAACGTGACTGGTTAAGGAGACCACAAGCACCGAAGTTTAAAGCACAGTGCACATACTCGTTACTCAAATTCTAGACCTATCATTTTCCTGAACAAGATGATCACGATAGGCATCCAACCTAATAGAGTTTCACCACAATGTAGCCAAGTTAATTTGGAAATGGGCGAACTAGCCTGTGAGATTATATGCTTAGGTGTATTTGTAAGAGCTTGATAACGATCTACCTATCAACTGTAAAGGACAAGGCAATTCTAGAACAACTATCAGATACATACATGGTATAAAAAGGCATCC